ATAATGAATTCTTTTTTTAAATCTTTTCAATGGCAGAAGTTCAGTCATGTTTGTTCACCTGTACCTGACATGAGAGTACAACAATTAATCTTGAGGAGCTATGAATTTCAGATGAAGATAGTCAGTCTCAATTTTCTAAATGATTCCTTCTGTAGGAAGCTCTCGTTACAGTAAATTAGGCTGGTGACATGGAATTCCCTTACATTTATTGTCACTTGATGCACACCTAACTATGGAGCAATAGATCTTTCCACAAAAGCCATCTATTGCTAGCAACCAGGCAACGTACAGGAATGCTTGAACAGAGAATGTGATAACCCTTAAAATACAGAGTTTAAAGTGACTCAAGCCCTGACAAACATGTTTTCCAAAGCTGAAATGTTCGTGTCACCTGTGAGCAAACTTCAGTGCAATTAAGACATTAAACTACAGCTTGCTGGCAGACACCATTATTTAATGTGGCAATTAATCTGTACAGGAGAATCTTCTACTAGCAGTAGAAGCAAGACTGCTATTTTATAAAAGGGTGAGAAAAACACTTCAGGCTCATGAATTGAGATTAGGCCTTATGACACCTATATGTGTGGGAAAACAATTCTGTTTTTCTGTAAGATAAAGAGGAGGAGTCACAAAACAAGCATTGAGCTAGAAATAAATCATTTATTTTAAAACATTACAGGTTAATAAATAGATTAGTTATCAGAAAACTTAATAAATAGCCTTTTATAATTTACACAAGGCAAATACAACATGCCTATGACTATTTTTTTTAAAAAGCAAAGAGAATAAACTAGACTTGTAAGCCATTAACAAATCTATGTATATATACACATTATTTGGAAGCTAGTAAAATAAACCATTTTCATGTAATTTGTAATTACTATATTGCAATAACATTGAAGCAACCAAACCTATCACGCTGTATATTTGTTGCCATCCACTTTTTCCCCACATCTCATTAGAACTATCTTTTCAATACCAGAAAACTTTTGTTCCACAGTTGAAAAGGGAAGTAACTCAAAAACATCCCTTACGTATAACATTTTCCACTCTGTAGGGCAACTGTTGGGGAAAGGAAAACCCAAATGCTTATTTGCAGCTCTTTATAAAGATTTCCTAATCCATAAGCTTGTAATCATTTGATTTCAACACTGCTGTCTGAAAGACTTGGGCACTAGTAATGAGAACTTTCGACATCATTGGTGCTAACATGGTACACCCTGAAGTTCTGTATCGCTTAAGCCCATATTCTGTAGCAACAAAGAGTAACTACAAAGACTGATCCTTAAAGAAAAGATAGCAGGTAATAGCTAAAACAAATTGATTTAACAGTAAAACTTCAGCAAGTCCTAAAGTTACACCATCTCAAAACAACTGAGGAAGATCTGTAGAACCCTTAGTTTTATATTTAGGAAACAAGAAGGTGAAAGGGGTATATTGTGCAAACAAAGCAGCATTTTAAGCACGCCATATTTAGTTACTCCAAATCTTTCTTTAAATACAAACTCTCTATTAAAAACAAACAAACAAAAACCAAGTCTCTCAGTTCCACTGTTTTAATAAATAAAATCCAGTGTTCTCATTTTTCAGTGCTAGTTACTTCATAAAAATACGTATGTTCAATATAAATCAAGATTACTGGAAGGAAGCCTCACTTGTCAAACTGCTATATGACAGGTTCTTACTCATGTTAGTTTCAGCTCACTAATAAATAGGCTCTATTTACACATACAGTATCCTGAAAGGTTAATTCAGTAGATACCTCTTTAGGTATTTTGCTTTTTTACAGAAGCATTTAAGGTGTAACAAATTTTTTGCTTGTATCAAAAAGGTTTCTATTCTCCTACTGAACATTTGAGGGATTTTTGTATTTAACACCTAATAAAGATCGGGACTGACACATGTAAATCCTCCATACACTGAAGGGATAACGATCAAAGAGCTATCTACAAGTGAGTAACAGCATCATGTAAGTAAATATGGTTGATAAGCAGAATAGAAGCCAGAGTAAAACTCCTTCAATACGGATTTAATTTAAATGCATCCCACTACTGTAATCACACCATTTTTTGTTCTTGTCTGGCCTCTGGTCATTTATACTTTGGAATCGGCACTTAAGTCATCTGGCTCATAGCTATCAATGTAAGTAACGTGAAAGTATGTATTTCTCACGGGCAGACCCATGAGAAAGACCAAAGCTCAGGAAACAACTATGCACATTTGCTCCCTGAGATGATGGAACTCCGATGTCTTACTCAAAAGCGCTTACTTGTCTAGGCAGAGAGAAAGAGGGAAAAGCTGAAAATTCAATTTCAGCAGCGCTTCTTTTTTAATCAGAAAAGCAATAGGAAAAGACTAAAAAAGGTAGGACACACAGAATGAGTAGGGTATGAGGTGGAGGGAGGAAGAATCATGCCAATAGCGACAACATAAAATGCTAATACATTTCTAAAGTTAGAATTGGACCAGACCCGGGTACAGCAGAACTCAAAAGAACGCTGTTACATACTGAACAAAGAGTAGCAAAAATAAAGGTCTTTCATTATTTATCATTCACAATGTAAAAGGCTGCAGATATGAATGATGTGCAAGGCCACTATAATTTCTTTCACCTTATGTGCTGGCTTTTGATATCTGTATTAAACAAGGGTAACTACACATTTCTAGAAAGCTCGTCAGGGATGAGGAGCAGCTGGGGAGGGGAGAGGGGAAAAAAAAAAAGCTTGCAGACATTTATCATCTCTAAGAATGGTCAGAGGACCAAAGAATACAGCTGCTACTTTTTTCTTACTCTGCATAGTGAGTGCTTATCAAGTGAAGTTGCGTGGAACAGAAAATAGCAGGGTTATAGCAGGGCAGTCAAGTTGTTTTCGATATAATATTTAATAATAATTTGCATAAGTACGTAACATACTGGGATAGGCACTTTCTAAATAAATAGGAATAAACTTTAAAATAAAACAGACAGATAGGCTCAAAAAAGGACTAAGAGGAGATGGCAGTTATTTTCACTTTAACCCAAAGATAGATTTTCATGGAAGTCTTCAGAGATTAAGGGCTTGTACGAAATAAACACGCAATTCATGAACTCTGAATTTGAATTTTGAAAAGATGACTTGACTGCTTCAGCAAACAGCTAACATTATTTTAAAAAGTAAACCACCAGAAGCCTCACAACTTATTTAGGATTCAGTTTCAATTAGGAAAAAAAAGGGAACTAGTACGACAAGACACAACTGTCCATCGATAACCAAGATACCATCTTTCAACCCATAACGGACAAGGTTTAGTTGTAGCCATATTTCATAATCCAGTTCCCTCATCTACAATACTGAGACTTCCTAGAAACCATAAACAGTATTTGGGAATCCACAAAGATGGCCTTTCATGTGCTAATGCTTTTTAATCTCACCAAGACACCCAGTTTCTTTGCCGGCCCTATAACGATGTATGTTTCTGTCAATTCAGAGTGAGAATCACTTCAGTTGGATATCCCCAACAGTTCAGAGTTACAAAACTAGCTTCGAAATAACACAGTAGGGCTCTTAGTCTCTCTTCAGAATACTATGTCTTCAGGAGTCACTATTTGTGTTTATTGCCACAATTAGAAGGGCTTATAACACTTGTTTTAAATGAAAACGCAGGCTTGTTTTAAAGAAACACTAATTAAGATTAAAAAAAAAAAGAAGTAAACATTATTACTCCCCACTAATCAAAGTTTGCATTACTGTCAGCCAGCCACAAAGCTAAATTCATGATTTCTGGTTAAAAAGTGTCATGGGCTTTTTCAAAATCTGTCTTGCAATCATCTTATTTTTATTTAATTGAAGAAACAGTCTGAACTAGAGATGTTGAGTTCCACTGTATGCTTTCTATTTTTGTACTTAAAATGAAAAAAATCATTACTTTTCAAGTCTTGCGACTCATGATGTTGATAATTATCCAGCATAAATATAGCATGAAAATACTTTCACACCAACAAGGTCATAATTCTGAACTGAAAGGGAAAATTAATTCTTTCTTTTGTTAACATACCAACATTCCTTACACGGTCTAAACTGATTGGTTCAGAATCATTCTAATCATAGCTTAAACTATTTGTACCACTATCAAAGTATTACTGCTGAACTATCACACAGGTCTAACTCACTGAATCTGAATGCCTATACTGAAACGCAGCTCTCTGAATGCCTACAACAGTTTAGGCTTTAACCTCCTTTTCCCAGGTTACGAGAGAGATCTGGCCATCTTTTCGTTTTCCGAGCTACCAATAAAATCTCACACTATTCTCTCTCTTTCATTTTCTGTTGTTCTTGCTGCTGCTTACTACAAAACAGTTTCCTATGTTGTCACTTAACTAGAATCAAGACATGCTGGACTGCTTTGAACAGACCTCTTGCAGGTTACCTCCTCCCATTACGACTACGGATATTTCCGAAGCTGTCAAGACGTTTAAAGATTTCAACTCCAAAACTATGTAGCTCCTTCCGGCTGCTCTACATGTTCAGAATTTGAATACAGTCAAATACGACAGACAATGAAAGTGAATTATTAAACCAGTACAGGCCATCTGAAACAAATACATTCACATTTATGCAGTATTTTTGGATTACAAAGGCACTGAAATAGTTCTGAACTGCTTGCAAATAAGCCACCGTATAATCAAAAAGTCTGTGCACCATCTCCACATCCTTCACAGTCTTTCTGTCTGTTCCCAATTTAAAAACTCAGATGAATGCAGTATGTCTTAATGCACGTAAGTTAGAAAGAAAAATGCATACCTGTAATCTGGACACTACCACCTGCTGACAAATAATTTGTGAAAGATTTTAAGGGTCCACTGCTCTGTATAAAGAATTTAATTTAAAAATCCCCAGTGTCTTCACCCCATATCAGACCAAATTACAGAGACAGTTTTATTATAAAAGGAAAAATCTGAAGTCAGAGTTCAATAAACATTTGTCTCAGAATTTACAGCCTGGACGGTGAACACACCCCCCCACCCCCATATTTTTACGGGTATACATCACTCATGAAAGGTGTCAGATTGAGTGCGTTAGAAACTGATGTTCCCTATCTATCCACAGAAACCATACTTCAGAAGCAGCCATAATATAAGCTTTTACACACGCCTGTCAGGATATCCCTACATCTTTTGTGATAATCACTTTTTACAGCGAGGAAATACATCGGTCTCTGTGCTGACTCAATCTTCGGCCTTCCCGCTGAGACTGTCAGCGATAATACCAATTACAGCCATTTATTATGTTGATCTGGGGTAAACAGACAACTGTCCCTTTGAAACTGGATGGAAGCCTCCAATTCATTTCCTGTAGGCCACCAAATTGTCAGAGGGTAACAAATATCAACCTGAATCATAATCGAATCAGTGACCTAGAAATGAAAGGCTTTATCATTCCCTGAGCCATCCAGTTTCCCTCAAAAAAATATTTCAATCCGTCTTCATGTTAGGTTTATTTAAATCCCCAATATTGAAGTTGAATTCCTTGAAGACTTGTATAAGAACAATTCCAATAGACACTGTGGTGAATCCACAAGCCATTCCCAAGAAATCTACCACTCCTACATTACTCCATTCCCTGAAAAGGATGGCTGAAGCCAGCAACACTAAAGTGGTAAACACAACATAGTAGATGGCACCAAACACAGAGGAGTCAAAACATTCCAGTGCCTTATTGATGTACCTGAACTGAATGATAATGCTACATCCTAATACTGCCAGAAGTACCAGACAGAGATACAGAGCCCTTTGACTTGACGGATTATTGTGAAAGATGTCTTGAGCAGCCAGCCCGATGCCTTTTGTGCTAGGCACAGTGAAACTGCCCAACAGAGAGCAAATACTGATGTAAACCATGATATTAGTAGGTCCATGAGCTGGAGCTATCCAGAAGATAAGCAGGAGAAGCATTAGCAGTACTACGCAGAGATAACCCACGAAAACTGGAAAACAAAAAGAAAACAAGATAACAGCAAGAAAAGAACTGCTGGTTTGGGATCTACACTGGCAATTTCAGCAGACAAATCACGTCTTACCAACAGAGCTTCAGGTATACACCACAATTAAGATTTGATATTGAACATAGACCCAAATCACCGAGCTTTTAATGATTTAGCGGACACCTGTGACAGATGATGTTCTCAAGCTCTTTGTGTAAAATAAACCATCATGTGGTAAAAATACAGTTCCACATTTGAACTGGATTTAAGATGGCTTACTTTTTCATTCGCTTTTTCATTAGGGTTATGCTCATTAAAATCCTCTGTGACAAATGGCAGTAGTAACACCTCATTTGTAACCAGCTTAGTAAAGCACCGTGTGTGAATTTAGCAAAGTGCTTAAGCGTAAAGTTATATCCCATTAGGGTCAATAGTAACAGCAGGGACAGCTGGAAGAACCGGAATACCATATCATTTATAGTATGCTATTAGTATGCAAATTAGACAGGTGAAAAATATTTCACACTTTAAAGCTCTGAAGAAATATATTTCCTATTCCTGTTGGTTGGAGTGAAACTGTAAATTTAGACCAAGGTGGTTTCATTTGCATTTCCTTGCAAATTTTTGCTTTGTCTTTTTCTTTCCCCCTCCCCTCTCTCATCTACAGCTTTGGATAGCTGATACGGTTTGACTTTCTCCCACCTAAAGCAATAAAAGGAAATAGCAACAGTTGTCAAGGTAACTCTTATGAAAAAAAAAATAAAAGGTGGCGGGCTTGAACTGTATCAAACACTAGTATATGCCATCCAGCAGCTAATGGGACTGTACATCCAAGTCAGTCCAACACTCTATAAGACAGGATAGGCATTTCAGGACATGTCTAGATAGCACATTTCTGCACACCTTTAGTGTGCAAAGAAATCTCTTTGGAACATAAGGGGTATCTAGTATAAAGTTACAATGTTTCCTCCTCCAAACCCAAATGCATAATTAAAGAACAAAAGATATATATTTTTTTTAATAAAACAACTTAAATAGAGATCCTAGAATTATAGCTTTTATTCTCTGTGTAACACAAAACACTTTTTCATAATTTTAGAAAATTACAAGTTCAAATGGCCACTGTTCTTTGTTTGCTGTGAAGGAGAATGTTTTAAAAGTTACCTAAATCAGTAGTAGTTTAACTCCTAAATTACTCTTTTATTTATTTAAAAGCCTTTTGAAAAATCTTAGTCTACGTTTTACTTTCTGGGCACATGTATCAATACATCTGAGGAATTCTAAGTACGGCAAGTGATGGTTTTCCTACACAAAAGCCATACTGTTTGTCCCTGTCACGCTGTGTTTTTTTCAGAAGTCAGTTTTACTGTCTCTTGGAAGTGGTACATCTTTCCTCCTCGCATGTGTTCTTGATCAATCTCACAAGATCATTATCAGTTAATACAAGAATGAAGTACCTGGATTTGTAAGCTTCTCTTCAAGTTCAGCCTGAGTGGTTACACTCTCAGACTTTGGGGAATGGATGATGAGAACAACAGACCCGGCGCAGCTCAGTAGACATCCCAGTTTCCCAAGAATGTTGAGTTTTTCTTTCAGTAAGTAAGAAGCTAAAATGGACCTTTCACAAAGAGGAAGAAAATTAGAAGTTTGAATGCAGTCTCTTAATACTGCTCTGCCCGTTACTTGCCACATGAATTTCCTTCTGTTAAAGGAATATCATCAAACATTAGTGAACCTTCAAATAGCCCTCAAACTGCATTTCAGCCTTAGCTTAGGGAAGATTCTTCCAATCTCCATCTTATTCAATCCATGATGTTTCATCTGAGGGGGAAAAAACAAGCATTAGGCACCCCAGAAGCAGATACCTACCCGTTACAATTTAGTGAGAGAGCACTAAACTCCATTTATTGGTACCATGCAGTCATGAAATAAAAGTGACCTTTGATTACAAAGATTACAAGGCTCAGCTCAGATATATAACTGGCTACAGTATTCAAATTATGTGGCCTAGCATAAAATAACAGGTGATATGTAGAGCCCCACCAGTGTGATTTGTAGCGCATGAAACTCGAGACACGAAGCCCACCCAAAGCAATTTACACCCGGAAGCAGGCGACCAGTGCGGTCAGATACATAACCCAGCAAGTGGGCAAAAGAAAAATCTTAAGGCAATACAGAGCACTTTTAAGTAAGTGTCCTTTTTTGCTGCAGCGGTTTCACAAATGTAGCTTACCTATTCACAAAATATTGAACCGTATATTAAACTCCTCTTTTTTTTTTTTTCTTTAAAAAAAACACATGAACATCACATTAAGGAACTTGTGGGCATGCACTGGCAGGCTACTTCCTTCACTTTGGAAAAATGAGCCAAATACAATTCAATTAAATTCAAAGTCAACACACACATGTAGGTAGTGGATAGCAGGGGATAGAAAGAACATGAAACGAGACATGGACCATAAGTCCACATAGTAAGGGAGCTGCGAATGAAAGAATAAGCCAAAGCGTCCACAATAAAGCAAGTGCAAAAAATAAATTGTTTCATCTGTTCCAGATCATAGTGATAGTTAAAACAGAATCAAGAACCCTTTTCTCGTTATCCTCTGACACACCGCCATACTTTGCTGGGCAGAATAGGAATAGATGACATTATAACATTTCAGTAACACTCATACGTCTGACATCTTCCAAGTTAAAGTCTGGTAATCACTGAGTCAATTTGACACTACACCCTAAGCAATAACAGCATTAAGATAAAAACAAGTAAAGCAAATTCTTACCCAAATGGAACACCAAGAGCTCCTAGGGGAGTCACTAACACAGTAGGAACTGCAGTGTAGGCCAAGAAATTTCCTATTTGACCAAGGGCCACTGTCAACAGAACCAAAAATAGGCCTTTAAAACCCTTTGTAAAGGGAAGCAATGAAAAATTACCCAACATTGTCTGGGAAAGACTGACCCAACGAGAAAACAGATGTTACAGATCTGCTAAGCTCTGTTCATTTTGCACGTGCGCAAAATGCCTGAAATTTTTAGACATTTAAAAATTATTTTTGGATAATCTATATTTTGAAGAATCTGTATTTCCCACACAAGAAGATCCAACAGGGCATGATCAAGAATCTTACTTGTGGCTTCTCTTACTTAAGTATAAATAAGGCTACAAATTAGAAACACTCATGGATCACATTCAAATATCTTTGTATGTGCAGTGCTAAAATTATACTACCCACGACTTCAGCTTTAGAACATACATACACATAACAAGAACACATTTGGGTATAGTTTCTAACAGCAGGGTTACCTTTCGGGAGGAATACAGGGACATCACTAGAGGAAAGGAATCTAATAATGAAATACTAAGCACATGCAGAAAAGCTCTTCAATATGTAGTTAAGCACATCAAATTGTCACAGCACTACATAACATCAAAGGTAATCCCTGACCAGTGTAGCAAGGACTGATCTATGTCAAGTCACAGTAACAGCCCATCTTATTTTTTCCCAATAAAAGCAATTTCCAAAATTTACCACACTATTGCACATCACAGCTGTGATAAACAGCTCATGTGTTCAAGTTTTCAGTTAAAAAAAAAAAGTTTATAAAAATACTGGCTGGTTTTGCAAGTGCTGGAAAGTTTATAAGTCAACATGATGCTTGCATAGTTACAGCGTCTGTGGTGCCTGGCAAGTACCTGGAGACTGAACATAAAATACAGGCAGCTGAAATTTCAAGTTGATTTCCAGTGCCATTACTAGCATTTAAAAGCATTTCAATAATCTAAGTTGTCTTATTCTCAGGTTGGCATTACCCTCCACTGTCAAACATTGTTATCATCATACTCTCTTTACCTCCGCAAAGCACTGTGCAAACATTATTTTACCAAATTAACTCACATAATCAGTAAAGTTGAAGACCTGCGTAACCTACAAGAAACCCAAAGCAGACAAACTCACAAACTGCAGAGGATGGCAGAATTATACTAATTCAATTCACTGAGGCTTTCACTATGTGCAGGAGTGAGCCACAGCAATAAACCCACGAACAGCATTTCCAAAGCACAAGAGCCAGCGATAGCCTCCTGCATATTTTCTGCTCCTGGAAATAGAGCAACTCTATCAGCCTCAGTTTTGTTTTTCAGCAGATATACACGGCAACTTTGACAGTATCTTCAAGGCATCCAAAGGCAGTAGCTAGTAGTTTACATGGAAGATACGGCCACACCTGGCACCATGTTCCTGCAGACTCCATACATTTCTAAGTAACTCTGGTCAGAGTTTACTCTTTCATAGGTCTGCTGCCTTAACTTTCTATTTAAAGAACCCTAACAGATGGCATCAACACATGTATATGAACAAACTGTACGTACTGTAAGCCACCTGAACTTACCCAAAACTTTCAGTATCACCACGGAGTAACAGTAGCAGTCCCTTACCACCACGAATGACAGACCAACATTAACTAAGGCCAATTAAAAAAGAATCTCAGTGATGGTTACCGTTTGCCTGCTGTTGAGGACCTTCGCTGCCGACCTACCCAGCTTTCTGTGGACAGATATTCCTCTCTAGATACATCAGTCCAGTAGTCAAGACATGACTTCAGTTCTTGAAGGCACACCAAGCTTTAAGCTTACTAAATGAGTATCAGTATCCCAGAAGTTTTTGCAACACAAGACTTGGCACACACTGACGTGTCTACGTTAGCAAGGGGACCAGCAGGAGCAGATCTGTAAAGCAAAAGCATCTACTCTATGCATTTCAGGGGTTTCATTTCAGACTAACTTTAGTCTGGTCCCACAGACTGAAAAGTCCATTTACAGCTGATATGTATTAGGCATGTCCCTAGGGTGTATCTTCCAGCCTAGTTTCAGCTGAAAGAAATTCAGTTCAAGTGCTCCATCATTGCCCCCAAATGTGAACCAAAGCTCAGTAAGTGGAAACAAACAGGAGATTTGCTTCACAAGTCCACTCTCAATCTGCAATGAAACGCTAACGTAGATGCATCCACTATAAAAACTGTCACAAATGCCACAGCTATGCTACTATCAAAATCTGCACTGAAACTAATTAATTAGTTAATTAATTAGTTTAATGCTGACTGAAGTACCTGTACACATGGTGCAATCACTCTTTTGACTGCAGTATAAAAAAGTCCCTTAGCAGAATCTGGAGCCCTTCCTTTGAAGTCTTCAGTAATCCAGTCGATCCCAAGGCCACAAAATGGTTAGGAAGTGTTATTCTGAGCCAGCACGCCTACACACAAATACTTGTTCACTATCTGAACAAGTCTTGTGAAAACAAGTTGACAGAAGTTATGCTGATTCTGTTAGTCATCCTAACTCCAAATTCTGTACTTTAGAAAATTACTGTCAGCTCCTGTAACTTCTCCAAGGTTATTGGGAATATTGCTAAATCTCCAAAACATCACCTTTCTCTGGATCCCACAGTTGCCTACCTGGCTGTTGCTACTGCCGTTTGTCACTGGGTTGCAATTCTGAATCTACAACATCCTCACAGAATTTTTACCTTGGTTCCTCTGTAAACTTTTTGAGGTTTTGTTTTAAAATACCTGCACCTAGCTGACGGACGAATGCCAGCTGATACCATTCCCTTAAGCAATTTCAGCTTCATTGAATTCATTCAGCCCTTTTAACCTCAAAACCTTTTTTTCTGACTCAACGACATAAACTCCTGTAATAAAAATTCTTTTTTTTTTATTCCTTCTCTTCAGAGATTCAAAATGGAGGCCTCACAAGGGATAAACAACAGTGACTAAAGCACAGATTTATTGCTATTTAGGCATGCAGTGATCACAGCAGAGTAGGAAGCTGTCAAAGAACCACTTAAACTCAGCTTAAATTAGCTGAGGACTTTCCTCTGGAGCTCTGTTGGCTCTACTCTTGCTCTGAACTGTATCCTTCAAGGGATTTAACAGTTCCATTCCTTGTGTACAGCCTGAAGAGGGTGAAAACGGAGACCTACCCTGCTGCAAAAAACAGGGCGCGTAACTGTACTCATACTTTTGAGGAACGGCTTCAAAAGCTTCAAAACATTTACAGATAATTCAAAAAAGGCTAGATGAGCATCCAAAAGTGGGGTAGTATTTTAAACTCACGTGGGTAAAACTAGGTCTCAACTACAAAAAGAGAAAGCTAGGTGCTCCTCATGTTCTGGATTCAAATTAGAGAGTGAACTTTGTGCGAGCATAGGTTACAAAGATACTAAGTCTAAAACTGTACCAGTCTCATAATCAGGGCCACGTAAGGCCTCATGTCAATCTTGCAGAGTAAAAACAAAACTGAAACTATCGCTGCCAAAGCTAGAGATCAAAGAAACTATTTAAATGGAGGCCAGCTAAGTGCGTTCTGATCTAAAAAATTACACATGCTCAGTAAGCCCTTTTGTGCAGAATTACAATTTCTTATTCAGCTTGGACTTTTATTGAAAACTGAGCGTACCAGTGCAATCCACAGATACAAAACACACGAGAAACCAGAGTCGGAACACTGTGTGGGTGCCAAAAGCTCAAAGTATCAACTGGTTCTGAAAATGTGGAAATATGTCCAACTTTGATTTATCACAGCTCTTTGCCTTTTCAAGTGACAGCTTACCGAAGGTGCAATATTTTTGAGGGAAAGGTATTTCATTGTAAGTCAGTGAAAGATTCAAGATTAGAACTCAGAATTTCTGATGACCCATTTCACCATCTAACCACAGCTTCTCCTTTCAGAGGAAAAAAAAAGTAAAATACTTACTTGCAATAGTGCCAGACCACCACACTATATCTGTTAAGTATGAAGTACCTGGAAGAGGAAGTATAAGAATATATATATTAGAAAAATATGGAATTGCATTACTGAAACAATGAAATGGAATAATTTCAGCGATCTCAACTATTAAAGGGTCTTAACCCCTTTGATTAAGGCAAAAGGGTGCGAAGAAAGCAAGAGAGAGGATGGAAGGCACTCAGATTTGGCCTAAATATCCAAATAAGATCTTCCTAAGGAAACTTACTAGTCAGAAGTTCTGACTTCCAGTTTGAAGTACCTATGCAACTATAACACTTAGATTACTTAGAGAGTCTCTGAAATGTCAGCAAACGCTTCTGAAGGTGCCATTTAACAGGTATATTGGAATCACTATTGGGAGAAATCGAAACCTATGGAAATAAAACATAATTTGGATAAATTAGTTTGGTAAAATACCCCCAATGAAGTCGTATGGGAGAAACTTTTTTGGTATTGAGTTTTGGCGGTATGTTAGTGTGGGCCAATCCTCCTGCATGCGAGCATTTGGAAATTAGTATGACTGAAGTCTTCTCTGAGTTACTGACATATTACTATGTTTCTAAGAGATGGTTAAAAATTCGAGATTGTCCTTTAACATCTGCCAAGTTCAAAGACGATTAGTTTCATTGTAAATCAGTTATTAAGGACTCTTGACTTGGAGCGTGCCACGGCGTTTCTGTATCACATTTTGGAAGTTCTACTTTTGTGGAACATCACGGCTAAAAACCACGTGTTAAATTAAACACTAGTCTTCAAAGAACTTGACCTTGGCATCAAATTACGCTGTTGTTATGTCCTGCTTCTCTTTCTAACAATCCAGTTCTGCGTTACTTTGGGAAGATGCTCTCTCAAGACCTGCAGGAGCGATAGCAATACTGTACGTAAGTGGAGCACTCTGAAATCCCAAGGGAAAGAAAAAAATAATCTATAACTCCGGAGACTTTAAAAATATTGAGCGTTTGGAAATCACACTACAGAACTGAAATGTGAGGGAAAGTGACTAATGAAAATGGCCAGCTTTCGAGTGGGCGTAATCATCCTTTAGACTTTTGTTACTGCATATAAAACACTTTGTTGGGGGCACAAATCATAGAAAATATTGACTCAAGTAAGATAGTTCGGTAAAATATTTGTCACCCACCGCTGTTTCTAGCTAAGCAAGGATTACTAACTCACTTGATACCATATTGTTGATTCAATGAAGAACACAGAAAAGACTTGAAGATGAGGTGCCCTGTTGTTAATTATACAACATCTACTCAGGCCAATGGAAAAAAAAAAAGACATCATTTGACACTTAGTTTAGAGGCTCTTATTTCCAACTGCTGGACTCAAGGAAGAACTGCACCGCTTCAAAACATTTAATAGACAAAAACCTACATTACTTGCCTGGCTGTCTCCTAATCTATCCTTACAGCTCCATAACGAGCACAGCAATAGGGAACACTAAGAATCACTCCACAAGATACACAATCAGTCTTCACTAATATCTTTGAACTAATAGCTATGTCTTACAGCTGTGACACTCACCTACCAGTGCTGAAAAGACACACCCACCCCCCTTGCACATCCACTTAACTCAGTATACTATCGACAGCTCTTTAAAAGTAATTAGACCCAACTATACTGCAGAATGGAAACTTGCTTTAACTACATTGGCAGCCTCATTCCTTCCTTGTTTTCTGTTTCCCTTACAAAAAGATTTGCATTTATGCAAACTTGACCTCTGTGTTAACAACAAAAATCGATTACAGCCATCCTGAAGGGAAAGGGAGACTAAGTTTATGAAACAGTAGCTTGTCTGAAGCCCTTAACTGCAACTGTAAGGTCATTGCGGAAAATGCAAAATAAACTTGTTAGATCATGCTGTCAGCTGGTAGTCCTCTGAATGCACCCTGAACGTGCTCAATACAGTAGGCACAGGAAGAGCATTGCTGCTCCAACGCTAACCATCTCAGAGAAAGTAAAACAAAACAAAAAAAGCCCTAAGAAATCACAGAACGGCTGAGGTTGGAAAGGAGCTCTGGAGTCCAACCACCCTGCTCACACAGGGTCACCTAGAGCACGTTGCCCAGGATCGCGTCCAGATGGCTTCTGAATGTCTCCAGGGAAGGAGACTCCCCAACCTCTCTGGGCGACCTGTTCCAGCGCTCAGTCGCCCGCACAGGAAAGTAGTTTGTCCTCAGGTTCAGACGGAGCTTAATACCTAAGCTGTTCTTGTCTCTACTAAGCATTTTTCATAAGAGCTCCCAGACACACATGCACGCACACATACATACTCATTCCACCATCACCAGCAAAACAAAGGGCTATCGACAACCAATAGAAATACAATTAAAAGGCCCCGTACAACCTGTGTGTTTACACCTTTCCTCCAAAAGCATGATATTAAGAACAAGTAAAAAAAAAAATATACTGCAGCTTCTCTATATTCAAAGCATTAAGCAGCAATTAGTAAAATGATAGTCATGAACCGCATGCTTTTGGGAGTCCTAGTATCAGAATAAAATACAAAAGATCGTAACATGCTATGAATTCACTTTTTTTCCCCTTGCTAAACTGGACAGCACAGTAAATTGCTGAATGTTTATCTCGGGGAAAAAAAACAATAAGGTATAGCATTTCCACATGCAAAAAAGGGATTAGCGATTTCATGCCATTGCTGTGCCCTTCTCTACAAAAGGCAACTCTCACGTGATCTAATGCAACTTTGTGGTGTATATCCGTGGAAGCGCGAGAATGAAGAGTTGATAAGATATGCTGGTGCTATTCATGGAGAGAAAGCAGTTGAGCCAAAGACAGCGAGCAGAGAAGTGCCATGAGGCAATGAAAACATTTCGAGAGAAGGACAGATATTCATGCATACACACAAACATGCATGTGTGTGTGTTTGTCTGTGTGTGTGTGTGTGTGTATATATATATATGTATATAGTCTTTAAGGCTGTATGATGGAAGAGCAATGCGCAGGCCATAGGTTTGGAAGCCGCGGCTGATGACTGCGCTTAATATCCTCCCCCCCCTCCCCGCCCCGGTCGCTCCCCGCTCGCCG